AATAGGTATTGCCATTGAATCTGTAGATCATTTGCGTGTAGTATAGACATTTGATGATATTGAGTCTGCCGATCCAACGAGCCATTGATATGAGAATTTCATTCTGTTTACATCCTCTGCTATTTCCTCCTCGTGTTTCATAGTTTTCCCTGTAGGGTCTTTTACCTCTTTGGTTAATATATCCATAGAGTATTTAATTTAAAATCCCAGCAGCATTCTTCACAGATATAGAAAAAATAATTTTACGCTTCGTATGGAACCAAAGAAGACCCCGAATATCAAGAGCAATTCTAGGCAACAAAATCCATTCATGTATTGATGGGCACTTGGGTTGTTTCCACATCCTTGTATTTGAGTTGTGCTGCTGTAAGCATTGGAGTGCAGGTGTCTTTTTTATAGAATGTACCTCAAAGAACTAAAAGTAGAACTGCCATTTGATCCAGCAATCCCACTACTGGGTATTTACCTGAAGGGGAAAAAAAAGATGTTCTTCTTTTCACTTTTCAAACAGCAACTGGCACCCAGATCTTTGACTGCTGGTGCATTGTTTTCACTAACGTACCTGCTTTCTCCCCTGCCATACCACCTTCCTTGGGGGTAAGCTGCTGACAAGTATGTGAATTTTTCTGGACAGGAATGGCCCAAACAGGTTCCTAAGTTAGGGGCTTAGTAAATCTGCAAAGATTTTGTCTGTTTGGGACTTTCCTTCCCAGTTTTCATCCAATGAACTGAGGTAAAGGAGACTTGTTCTTCAAAGTGGCTTGTGCTTCTTAGAAGTGGAGTTAAGCTTACCAGAAAAATGGGGCCGATAACAAGTATTTAGTATTGTACTTCCACTGTTGCTATCACTGAGAAGTTTAGTGGCTTAATCAAATAGGGAGTAAATATTAGAATCACTTGAATAAATTTTAAAAAATACCTAAGTCCTAATCTTACTCTCAGATATTCCATGCTGGGAAGTCTGGAACAGAATCTGAGTATCCATAGTCATTTGTTTTTTCTTTTAAAACTTTCCTGGTGATTTTGGTATGTCCCATCAAGTGGAGAACCCTCGAAGTTGTGGAGTGACTTATTCCTGTAGTCTAAACTGTTAACATGGTTGCATCTAAGCAATATTAACATCTTAAAACCTAACTCTTCCATTTTAACTTTTATTACCTATTCATTAGGCTTCTGTATTTTCCATGGTTCTTTAAGCTTAATCTTATTCTGGAGGTGCGAGGACATGGAAGGGAGCTGTTGTCCTAACAGAGGACCTCTAAACCACCAGAATTAGTTATTCCTTGTGGTCGCTAGCAGGTCTGAATGTGAAAGCCCCAATAGGTAGGTACAACCCAATACATTTTGAAATCTAGTCCAGCTGAGTTCAGTTTATTTTGTACACTTTGCATTTTCGTCCTCCAGAGGGAGCCAGAGTTCAGCTGAGCAGACTGCCTTGTACCCTCATTAGACAAGGAAAAAAATTTTTTTCTTTGAGAGTCTTGCTCTGTTGCCCATGCTAGAGTGCTGTGGCACCAGTCTAGTTCACAGCAACCTCAAACCCCCGGGCTCAGGCGATCCTCCTGCCTCAGCCTCCAGAGTAGCTGGGACTTACAGGCATGCGCCATGACGCCCCGCTAAGTTTTTTTCTATTTTTAATAGAGAGGTCTGACTCTTGCTAAGGCTGGTCTCCAACTCCTGACCTCAAGTGATCCTCCCACCTCGGCCGGCCTCCCAGAGTGCTAGGATTATAGGCAGGAGCTACCACACTCAGCCTTTTATTTATTTTTTAAATTTATTTTGGAGTTGGGTCTTGCTATGTTGCTCGGGTTGAACTTGGACTCCTGGGCTCAATAGATTCTCCCCCCTCAGTCTCCCAAGTAGCTGGGACTACAGGCATTCATTACCAGACTAATTTTTTAATATCAGACTTAACAATTTTATTTCTTTTAAATTTTTTTCCAGCTTTATTGAGGTATATTTGACAAAAAGTATACATATTTATTGTGTACAAAGTGATATTTTGATATACGTATACATTGTGAAATGATTACCACAGTGAAGCTTAATTAACATATTTATCACCTTAGATAGGTATGATTTTATTGTATGTATGGTAAAAACACTGAAAATCTACTCCCTTGGCATGTTTGAAGTATACAGTACAGTTTTAAGTCACCACGCTGTAAGTAGATTGCCCATTTTGGTTAAGTGTGGACTCAGGTGAAGGATCCTACACTAATTGATTTTTACTCTGTATAAAATTGTGCTAACCTAAAAACCTACTCATAAGCTGTTAGAGTTAAAAGGACACATATGTAATTTTCTCTTTAACAGGAGAGGAAATGGAGGCAGTATAACTTGCCTCACACAGGTGGTTAAGAACAGAGAAGGGACTAGAGCCAGGACAGTTTAGTGATTTTTTTTAGTTAGCATGTGACTCCTTAATCTTTGTCTTTCAAATACAGAAGTTAGGCTATAAAAAAGCGTATTTTCTTTTAATATTAAATTTATGGAGATTGATATAAATTCTTGGTTAAAGCTCCTTTTTGGATAGTATATGCAGATTTGATTCTGTCACTGAAAATATTTCAAGGACAAATTGGAATTGGACAGTATCTTGCATTTGACATGTTTTGTTTTTGGTGTTTAGGTTTTCCTAGGACATTAGGACAGGCTGAAGCTCTGGACAAAATCTGTGACCTGGACCTAGTGATCATTTTGAACATTCCATTTGAAACACTTAAAGATCGTCTCAGCCGACGTTGGATTCACCCTCCTAGCGGAAGGGTGTATAACCTGGACTTCAATCCACCTCAAGTACCTGTAAGAATATACAAAGTGCTTTTGCCAACTGACAAGAAAAAGACAAACAATGTCAGCTGAAAAGTGGGTAAAGGATATGAATAGACTATTCAAAAAAGAGCAAATCTACATGGCCAAAAATCATTTTTTAAATGTTCAAATTCAGTAGTAGTCAGGGAAAGGAAATTTAAGTAAAAATAGAATATGACTCTGGATCCTTTAGACTGGGCAAAATTGAAGAGATTGTGACATCTATTGCTGATGAGGATCTGAGAAAAGTGGTACTCTCATTTTTGTTAAAGTATTACTATCCTCTTTTTAAAGCAACATGGCAATGTACATTAGGAGTTTTAAATAAATATTTCATCCATCCCACTTCTGGGAGAATAGCCTATGGAAATGGGAGCACTAGCCAGCAGGTAAGGTCACCTGTACAATGGTGCTTATTTCAATGTTGTTGTAGTGGCCAAAAAAGCAAAAACAACCCCCCCCCCCAAAAAAAACCCAAAAACTCAAATGAATGTTCATCTGTAGGGGACTGGTTAAATACATTGGAGAATGGCCCCATCATCTTGGAATATAATGTAGTCAGTAAAAAAAATAAATTAGCACTATACTTTTTTTGACATGGAGAAATTTCCTGAAGGTATTGTTCAATGAGAAAAGCAAACAGCAGAATGATCCCATTTTTGGAAAACAGTACCACACCTCTTTATGTTTATCTGTTTGTGAGTGCCTGTGTGCTTTCTAGCTGTGTAAGATCAGGGAGAAAGGCATTAAGGCTCTGTCAGGGCTGGCAGACAGCCCAGGCTGCGGCTGGATGAGGGAAGGGCATCAGAGTGGATGTGCCCGGGGGCAGAGGGGAGGATTAAGGTGACTGGCCAGGGCTAAAGGAATAAAAAGGTTGCCTTTAAAAAGTTCAAAATGTAACATTGATATAATTACCTAAAGTTAAATATATATAATGGTCTGTATATAAAGATACTTGAACAAATTTACTTAAAAGAGTTATTCTTTCTGATAAAGACTGTCTGATTTATCTTTCTGATAACGACTTTATCTGCCAAGGACAGATTGAACTAATGTGTTAATTCAGTCTGATGATACTGAAGTCCAGTTATTGGTGGTAGTACTACTTGTTATCCAAATGTAGAAGAAGTGGCATTGTGTCTTACTGGGTTAATCTTTATGGAAAAGATTAGACTTGAATACAGATGGAGGCAATAATTGCTACAGAAAATTACTTCAAGGGGCTAAGAATGATTCCCCAACTCCTGGGTACCATTATGTCCATAAAGTCCCAGTGAGACTGGTTCATTTGGATTAAGCACTAGTCTCCTTTTGAAGCCGTCTTTTAAAAATATAAATAGGCCAGGCGCGGTGGTTCACACCTGTAATCCTAGCACTCTGGGAGGCTAAGACGGGAGGATCGCTTGAGCTCAGGAGTTCAAGAATAGCTCTGAGAAAGAGCAAGACCCCCTCTCTACCAAAAATTAGGAAAAAAATATACATATATTAACTATATATTATAGTTCTGTAATTTTTTTTTTAAGACAGAGGTTTGCTCTGTTACCTCAGCTAGTGTGCAGTGGTGTTATCATAGCTCACAACAGCCTCAAACTCCTGGCTTCAAGTGATCCTCTTGCCTCAGACTCCCAAGTATCTGGGATTACAGGTGTGAGCCACCATGCCTGACTAATTTTTCTATTTTTTGTAGAGATGAGGTCTTACTCTGGCTCAGGCTGGTCTCGAACTTGTGAGCTCAAGTGATCCTTCCACCTCAGCCTCCCAGAGTGCTAGGATTACAGGCATGAGCCACCATGCCTGGCCTGTAATTTTTTTTATTAGATCCCTTCCTAATTTCCATCCCAAGAAGTTACCGTAGGGGAAAAAAATAATGGGTGGGGAGGGAAAAAAAAAAAAAAGGAGTTCTGAAAATACAGATGGAAACACTGAAGTCCAACACAGATGCTTCACATTTTGAGTTTCTCCAGAGCCGTGGATGCAAATATTCTCATCACATTTGAACAGCTTTACCACTGAGTTGCTTTACCAAGTCTGGGTTTCCGTAAATGAACATCTACAATTACAGTGCTGCTTCTAAAGACAGCAGTGCAAATGCTAACCTGGCCTGACTCTGCCAGCTGTGGTGGCCACGCTCCCCAGGACTCTGCTGCTCTAGCATCATCCTGTTCTTTCTGGAAGCAGTGCTGTATTGCTGGTGCTCGGAAATCCTGGAAATGACTTCTGAGCTTTGTGGCTATAAGAAGAGAGGACTGTAGGTGGATATACACCCTTATCCCATCCCCTCTCCTGTTGTGTTAGGTTAACAACCATGGCATATACATGTGATAATTATGTGGTTCACCAGTAAATCATAAGCATAAGCCATATACCCAGGGTCCTGAGCTGTAATGGGATTTTAGTGCGTTTCAAATGTACAGCCTGTTTCTGATTATCCAGTTGAGTTACCTGAGCATTTTGGTCCTGTTCTAGTCTACCTTTTGACAGATTTATTTCTTGTGACACTCTCTCCTGGTGAGTAATATAGCCATGGACATGGGAGGCAAAATTTAAAATGTGTCCATTTTGCAGTTTGCAAGGAGACATCATTCCTGAGGTGGTTAAGGCACATTGAAAATCAGGTTTTTAAAAAATTATAATTTTTCAGGTCTCAGAATGTTTGTCCATGATTATCATGGGTATTTGAGTCATGCCTATTTTAAAACACCTTTAGATATGTCATTATTTAATCTAGTGAAATAACCTGAGTAAGTTAAATTTCAGAGTAACTACATGATAGAGTTTGAAATCTGGCAGAGATGGTTCTAAAGTGTCTTCTCCTACATTAATAATTTTTCTAAGTAAGCCAGGTTGCTTCTTTGAGATATTTTATTTTCCATATTAAGAACTCAGGCTATAGGAAGCAAGGTAGTCTTAGGAATATTTAGAGAGCCAAGGTGACATTGTCTAAAGTTCTTGCTGGGTAAGGTTACATGGAATTTTATTCATTTATTTATTTTGAGATACAGTCTTGCTCTGTTGGCAGGGCTACAGTGCCATGGCATCAGCCTAGCTTACAGCAACCTTGAACTCCTGGGCTCAAGTCATCTTCTTGCATCGGCCTCCCAAGCAGCTGGGACTATAGGTGCTCACCACCAAGCCTGGTTAATTTTTTCTATTTTTAATACAGACAGCGTCTCACTGTTGCTCAGACTGGTCTTGAACTCCTGAGCTCAGGTGATCCTCCCACCTTGGCCTCCCAGAGTGCTATGATTACAGGGGTGAGCCACTATGCCCGGCCATTACATGGAATTTTAGACTGAATTGAAAGTACCATTTATTAACATCACTGGAAAGATGTTTGGAAAGATCAAGCGGTTAATAAAGATTTAATGTCAGCTCTCGGGGAATAAGGTTAACATACTGTTAAGTATGCTATTTCTTTTTCAACTACCCTCACTATTACCACTGTCACCGAAGCTTAATTCACCATGTGGTAGGAGTCAAGATGAATTTATATATAGTTTTTTGCACAGGGAAGGTTTTACCTATGGAATGGCCCAACTGTTCATATTAATTGTTTTCTCTGGAATTTGTAGGGGACTGATGACCTCACTGGAGAACCATTAGTCCAGCAGGAGGATGATAAACCCAAAGCAGTTGCTGCCAGGCTCAGACAGTACAAGGATGTGGCAAAGCCAGTCATTGAATTATACAAGTGAGTATGGCTTAGTGTTTTCATCGCAAAGGTCCAACTAGGAAGGTGTGGAGCCTCCTGGGAAGGACACTGGGCTGAGGCAGAGTAGTGTTTCTTGAAGCTAGATAAACTCTAATGACCCAATCCCTCTTAGAAGTCAGATGATATATCGGAATTGTACATGTGAGATAAAATCCAGTACCTTTATCCTGAAACTATCAGGGCATAGTGGATTAAACCTCATCACCTCTGTGATGTAAAATTACACCTAGACTTATTTTCATTTTCCTCTTTAAGTGACTGAGATAATGGTCTATATTTTGACACTCCCACATTTAAATACCTGATTTGGATAGAAGATTCGGGACTTTGGTGTGTCCCTTCTTGCCGTATCTGTAGGGAGTTTAATGCATAAAAGCTAAAATCATAAACTAGAGATTGAAAACTCAAATGGCTACAGGGGCCAGGCAGGTATTGGAAATGTGGGGGATGTGTCAAGCTGGGCAGTTGAGTGACAGTTAAACTGGACAGCTCCTAGGTGGGTCATTCTTGGAGGTGTTTAAAAGAGGAGAAAAAAAAGGTGACATGGCAAGCACACCAGAATTGCAGAAGCTATGGCCTTATTTAGGGAGACCCAGTGGAAGTATTGATACATTTGAAAGGGGCTGTTTTGGCACTTAGTGACCTGTAATATAGATGATGAGATTGTGTTTGTTTTATATCTGGGATCTTCATGCAAAAATGCCTTTGTATATTGGACTTTGTTTTTCAGGAGCCGAGGAGTGCTCCACCAATTTTCTGGGACGGAGACTAACAAAATCTGGCCCTATGTTTACACGCTTTTCTCGAACAAGATCACACCTATTCAGTCCAAAGAAGCCTACTGACACTGCCCAATGGAAGAATCAGGAAGATGTGGTCATTCATTCAATCGTGTGTGTAGTATTGGTGCTGTGTCCAAATTAGAAGCTCGCTGTGATAGCCTGCAGCATCTTTTCTAGTTCAAATGGTGAACTGACAGGAAAACTAATGAGTAGAAAGAATTCACGAAGAGGCCCTCCTCTGTCTTTCAAAAGAATGGTCACCTACCTATGTTGAAGGTGTCTCTGCACATGTTTCAAGCCTCTCACAAGGAAGCAAGTACAGGCTGGATTTGAAATGATATATACCCAGAGCTCTAGCTGATTTTTGACAGCTATGTTGTTGCTCTAGTAGTCTTTCTACACATTATGGTGGTGGTCTCCGGTTCTCCCCATCCCCCCAAAGACTGTTGAACCATAGTACCAGTAAGCCAGAGAATGGCAAGAGCTCTAGTCCAGGCCTTCTCTGGTGTGTGCCCTCCTGGTGACAATGAAATTGAAGTTAATTGCTCTCAGTCATTGTTTCTCTGGTCTTGAGTGACTATGTCCACAATTCATTTTTTCTGGTAGGATTGACTCCTTCTTTTCTGCAATCATGCTCCATATAGAATCTCCTTTTCAGACGTCCTGGGATGAGAGGATTTGGCTTCTATTTTTTTAAGACTGTATTTTTTACATCTGTTTTGTCTCTTCCTAGGCTATTAAATATAGGCTATCCCTCTCAAGTTCTTCTAAGAACGGAGAGTGAGGGGACTATATTGAGTCTCTTCATGTACCAGGAATTGAGCTATGCAGAGGGTCTTACTTAAACTTGCTTGTCTGACTCTCGTAAATTGACCCTGCTTCTTTCTTTTATTATGAAAAAATTAACCCCCTAAAAGTCTTTTGGGGACCCCCTAAAGTCTTTTGGGAATACTCAAAAAAAAAAAAAAACCATAGGAAATATTTACCTACATAAATGTTGAAAGATTATATCTTATATATAGAAGTAACAAGACCATATGGAATTACTGGACTAATAGAATAAATAGTTAAGCTTTTTATTCAAGACAACAAAATGTATTTTTAAAATGCTGCTAACTATCGATGCTGACAGTGTTTCTCTCCTGTGAGTGACCCAAGCATATTATAAATAGTTGTTACAGAGAATGGAGCCTGTGCGGTTGAGCAGAATGTTGCACTCGCTGTGCCTAGACTAGGTGTGACAGCTTTAGGATTATGAGGAAATAAAATCTTTAATTTTTTTTTTTCTGTTCCAAAGATGCATTCTATGGGGTGGCCATAAAGTCTAGATTTAGATACTAATATTTGTCATTCATCATAATGGAATATCAGTAAGCCATTTGTTAAAAGCTTTGCCTGGTTTCCAGACTTGGTGGCCACCTTGAGTAATTCTTTCTGTCCTCTGGGAAGGACAATTAAATTTATTCCTGCTGCCTTAAAAATACATATCCCTTCTTCATGCATCATGACTGTACCCAGCGAGCATCCTTTACTATTCCTGGGAGTGACTTTTGTCTAACCCTTCATACTGGTGAGGAAAAAAAGAAGCTTATTTCAACACTTCAGTAGTGTTGAAACACATTATTTACTTTATGAAGATGTCCCAGTGAATCTGAGTCAATTCACTGTCTCATATATGATATGAGCACATCTTCCTTACTCTTACCAGTTCCTCTCCTTTTGTCCCTTACGTGAATGTTCTTTGACTACCTTAGTGAAAATTTAGACCAGTCTCTTCCTCATTCTCTCAATGACAGCAAAGTAAGATGATTTGCCTTTTAGGTTTATACAGTAAAAATGCCCCGTTCACATCTATGAAACATCAGTGCATTATATTTTATTGACTCTGAGCACTTTTTAGAATTTAGAATTGCAATTGAATGCCAGCTGATGGAGACAGGGTGAATATTAGACATGTAGTAAAGCTCAGGTTTCCTGGGGAACCAGGTACAGAGAAAAACAAATCTGATATGAGGAAAATTGCACAATTAGAGCAGTACTGCCATGGAGACAATTTCTGCAAACTAGGCAAAGTAGACAGTTAAAGTTATTATATGGATAACTCAAAAGAGGAAATTATGTGCTTTGTTGGAAGCAGAAAAATCTTCAAACTTCTTTCTTCACTTATCTTTGTGTTTAGCAGACCTTTCAATGTGATCACTGCCTTTGGATTTTGGGGAAGGGAATGGGAAAAGGCCCAATCCCTGTTTACATATTTTACTCTTCTATCCATCCTTCCCTCCCTCTTCCAGCTTAAATAGACAATTGCAGCCAACATTGAGTCACTCAGTAAGTCTCAGCAATGTTTGATTTTGCAGTTGAGGATCCTGTGCTAGGTGAGACCAATAAGAGAAATACCTTTTCCATGGTCTTGGAAAGATGATGTTTATTTCATGGTCAGTGGCCTTACAAAAAAAAAATCTATTTCTGCTTTTTATCAACCTTCTAGTTTTCCCTTAAGTAATTTTGTACAAATTTAAGTTATCTTGAAAATATTTTGCCAGAAGTAAAATTAAAGGAACATCTTTTCTTGGTTTTCCTTCTATTGCTACACATGCAGTTCTTTCATATTTAAGCAAAGAGAGTAGTTTGGATGGTCTTTAAGATTCCAACCCAGCTCTTAATTCAGCTCTTTCATGATCTTAACAGGCTTCCCGCTTACTTAGAACTTGGAAATGCTGCTGTGTTTAATACCCTCCAACACTAATGCAAGCTTATGACAGGTACCATTTATTGAAGGCCTATTGAGTGAAATGTGCAGCTTCAGGACCTTTACAAACAAGTCATCTCATGTTTCTAGCATCCTATGGGATTGGCATGCTCTCGCATTTATGAACAAAGAAGGCAAGGGTCAGGGATGTGAAGCATCTGGCCCAGGCTCCTGCTGCCAATGAGCAGTGTTGCAGGGACTCAAACCCAGGTTTTCCTGACTCAGAAGACTGAGTTTGTTCCTTGATGTTAACTACCTGTGTCTTTTCTCAAGCAACCCAGGGCCCCAAGCCTGCTTTGTTCTGCTTGTAGCCTCACATCAAGAATAGCAGTCTCTGTATGAGAATGTTCTTTTTTTTTTTTTTTTTCCTCCTTTTGCATAAGCAAAGGAAGCTGCTAGAGGAGAGTCTGAGTCCTTAGGCCTCCTCCCTAAGTCCTCATTTATAAATAGAATAATAGGCTGTCCGAGTGGGCTGGGCTTGGGTCCAGGCTAATCTGCAGAGGAGGCGAGCTCATGTTCCTTCCCTACCCTTTCTATGTCCACTGCATCGTGTCCCTGAAATGGCCTTCACCTTTGAGCCATCCCCAGACATGGTGCTCACACATAGGCCTGGGCTCCTTGGACAGATCCAGACACTGCTCACTTTCTTCCCTGAGATTAGAACAGATCACTCCCTAACTCCCTCTCCAAACAAGTTCCCGATGATAAACGAATCCTTCTCAAAGTGCTGGTAGGTGAACAAAGTGATGATTGAGCATCTAACACAGGGTAACTCTTGACTTTTGTACCATCAGCCCTACATTATATTAATATTGCACATTAACAGGACTCTGAATGCCAAATTCAAACCTTCACCCATCATCTGTTTGTCATGCAACAGTTGTGGCAGTAACCGGGGGGAGATTCATTTCTGTCACTTCCCTGCCACCCTCCAGTGGCCAAACTCACACGAGCTCCATCATAACCCAAGGTGTGCCCCTCTCTTTGATAGGGAAGGAAAAAGGTAAGAATAGGCACAAATGATGGAGGATTCACAGAGAGCAGTAATTCTGTGGCCTTTTCTGCTATTTAAAATGTTGAGACAGGATAACTTTAGATAGAAAGATGCCTGCACAAACCCATAAGGAGTATATCCTGAGTTCAATATTTGACTTCATCCATTTGTCTAAGGAGCTTAAGCCTGCTGGAGGTCTTTGCTCAAATCACATATTTCCAAATGTGTTAATGTATAGGCATTCTTATGATTACTATTTATTTACTCCACGCTAAGCACGTTACTTGCATTTTCTAATTAAATCCTCAACAATTACCTAATGTAATTAGTTGGTAATTGATAATAGATATTATCTCAATTAACATGCCTCCTTATATTTAAAAGCTGAAATAATCCTGTTCATTTAAACATGTATTTTCATGTACCTATATGGATTAATCAGGAAATTTAAAAGGGCCTTCTTTTGTACCTTTCCCTAGTTTGAGCTCCCCATTCTCATTAGTAGATAAAACAATGTGTTCGCTCCAGCCTGGAATCTTTGCTGTTGGTGCTCTGGTGCTGAGACAGAAAAGGGCGCTCAGTGGGTCATCATGGTAGTTGCACACTGTGGATACAGAGGGCACGCATCTCATCTGTACTCTGTTGGGTTACAGGATCTCAGGAGGCATTTGTGTCCACCTGATGAATTTCCTTTATTACCTTTCATTTAACACACAGTGTCTTTTCTTTCTGCAGTCGATTTTGCCAGAGAGGCAATTCATAAGGTGAAGGCCAGTTCGCCGGTTCACCATACGAATTGCTTTCTCATTATCCTCTTCCATTTTTACTAACTCCTTGGTCAGTGTTTCAAATGAAGAACCCAGTAATGGAGACTTCTTTTAATATGGGAGTGTGGTCTGGTCATAAGTTATCATTCCTTTCCATATATAACTAGCCCAGTCTTGTTTCCAGATGAGAAGTGTGTAAGACCCAGATGTTGAGAAACCATGAACCTGTATTTTAACTATGAAAAAAATCTGCTTCCTGCATCCATTGAGACCATATTATAATTACCATTGCTTGTATATGCCATACGTTATCTTCCTTGTAACAAATTGCACAGTTCTTGCCAGAATAAATGCCATTATCTGTATGCTTCAGGGAATTCCCCAATTTGATCATTTTGTGTATGTGAGAGATTTGCTAAAACATTTCTAAAAGGGTGAAAGCTCTTGTATGGCATAGATATGAATTCCTTCCACTACTCATAATTAGGTTATCCAGGAAGCATAGTGTCATTCTTTAAATAAAAGATTTCCTGTTTAAAACTTTTCACAGGAGCAGACCACCTGGAAGATTCTCCCTGGGGTTGATGTGTGTCTAATTCATTTTATAAACCATTCTTTTCTTCATTTTAAAGCTTCGGCTACAAAGTGAGAAATGTACTCAATAAAAGCAAACTATTTTGTATTTAACTTAGAGAAGAGTAAAGGGAAGAAAAATGAAAACTCAGTCTTTATGTAAGCTCCAAGGATATTAGGGCTTAGAGGGCTTTTCTAGTTTTATGAGAATTTGTACTACTGAATTTTATATATTCTTGTTTCTGAGATGAACAGATCTCTGGGGGGAAATTGTTGAGTTACAATGGCATTTCACTGTGATCCCTCTCAAGCTCAGATCAGTTCTCTAACCCAGTGACAGCCTGTCTCTTTGGTTTACTGTCTTGTGAAATGTCAGCTCAAGTTTCCCAGAAGCCGTGTGTTTACGATGAGTCAGAGTGCTTTTCCTCAGTGTGACAGTTGTTGGCCTTCTTAATTTTGGTCTATGTGCTTAATTCAAAGTATCTAAACCTATAGTCTGATCTGTATATGCTATCCTGTTAATTGTATTATTGATGATTTTGGTTTTCTTGCTTGAAGATTGATTAATACTTTTCAATTTGATAGAAATAAAAGGTTTTTCCTGCTTGTAACTAGTGAATTCATTTAATGTTTCTAATATACATTTTCACAGATACTCTCATTTATGCCACTGTGCAACTGTGACATCATCAACAGTGTTATCTCCAGTTTGCAGATGAGAAAAATAAAGAACACATGTTACCTGGAAAAGGTGACAGTTGGTGGCAAAGCAAGATTCTGAAACCCACGGTTGTTATCCCCAGTCCATTTTACAAATTATTATTATTATTTAGAAATACGATCCCCACGCTGGAGTGCACGATTGTGGCTCACTGCCACCTCGAGCTACTGGGCTCAAAGGATCCTCCTGCCTCAGTCTCCTGACTACCTTGGATTACAGGCATGTGCCACCATGCCTGGATAACTTTTTCTATTTTCAAAATTTATTTTAGAGATGACAGTCTCACTACTCTTTGCCCAGGCTGGTCTTGAACTAGGCTCAAGTGATCCTCCTGCCTCAGCCTCCCTAGTAGCTGGGTTTACAGGCATGAGTCACTGTGTTCGGTCTATTTTCTTTTCTATGACATCATATTGCCTTATTTTTTATTTCCTTATTCCTTTTTTGTCCAGCACTTTATTGTTTACACTTTTTTTTGAGATGGCATCTTGCTCCTTTGTTCCAGTAGAGTGCAGTGGTGTCATCGCAGCTTACTGCAGCCTCAAACTCCTGGGCTCAATTGATCCTCCTGCCTCAGCCTCCAGAGTAGCTGTGACTATGGGCACTTGCCACAATACCCAGCTAATTTTTCTATTTTTAGTAGAGATAGGGTCTCTTGTTCATGCTGGATTTGAACTCCTGGACTCAAGCAATCCTCCTGCTTTGGCCTCCTAGAGTGCTAGGGTTACAGGTGTGAGCAACGGTGCCTGGCCTATTTGTACATTTTAATGTGCATTCTTTAATTTCATTGTTGAAGGAACTAGATGATGTGAGCAAATTCCCTATTTTACAGGCTAGGAGATGAGATCAGACTATGACTAAGGTTGTAGCATCTGGGGTTACTCAAGAGAAGCAGAAACCCAGGAGGCTTATCTGATGGGGGCTAGAGCCATGAAGGAACTACAGCCTCTGTGGCAGAAGTCCCCCTGAGATAGGGAGGAAATGGGAAAACACCCTGGCTTTTCCCAAGTTCACTGTCTCCTATCTCCTGTGGGGGGCTTCCTTTAGCTGAGCCTGGTCAGAAGCCAGGCAACACAAAAGCCTAAGAAACATAGGTTCTAAAGGCTTTTCCATGCCTCTGGAAGGGCAGAGGAAAGGGGAACTGGATAGGATGGCAATGTGGTAGATTCTAGTCAAGGCTAAGACATTCATTCCTCCTCCTTTGGGGAGGATTTTACACCTCAGCCCCACGGGCTTCATGCCACACGTACGATTTGCTTTGGGGGATGAACTGTGGGCAGAAAGGAAGTGTGTCGTCCCTTCTGAGCTGATTCCCCCTGCAGAAGCCACAGGAGCTGGAGCATGGTCACTATTGCCTTTCCCTCTGCAACGAGGCTGGCAATGGTGTGGGGCTCTTCTTTCAATCTGGGTCCCAAAAAGTGAGGACGTGAAGCAGAGATGTAGCCAATCCATGATGGAAAAGTGTGCATGAAAAATAAACCTTTGTGGCCGGGCGCTGTGGCTCACGCCTGTAATCCTAGCTCTTGGGAGGCCGAGGCGGGCGGATTGCTCAAGGTCAGGAGTTCAAAACCAGCCTGAGCAAGAGCGAGACCCCGTCTCTACTATAAATAGAAAGAAATTAATTGGCCAACTGATATATATATATAAAAATTAGCCGGGCATGGTGGCGCATGCCTGTAGTCCCAGCTACTCGGGAGGCTGAGGCAGAAGGATCACTCAAGCCCAGGAGATTGAGGTTGCTGTGAGCTAGGCTGATGCCACGGCACTCACTCTAGCCTGGACAACAAAGTGAGACTCTGTCTCAAAAAAAAAAAAAAAATAAATAAACCTTTGTTTTTATAAGCCACTGAGAGTTGGGTAGAGTTTGGTACCACGGCATAATTTAGCTGAGCTAACTGATGTGACTGGTCCCAAAACTGGTATGTCATCATCCAATTATAACTTGGATTATTTTGTCAAGAAGCACCAGGCTCTGGGGATACAAAGATGAATAAGACTCAGTTTTGCCCTTGACTTCCTCACAGTCTCCTGCAGGAGATGGACATCTGATTAGATCATTGGGTACATACCTATTGGAATTAGTCACTGCACCATATTTGAGAGAACAGAGGTAGTGACTGTCTTGGCTGGCCAAGTAGAGACCAAGAAAGCTAATACTGTGTTTTCATGAAAATAAGACAGGGTCTCATATTTATTTTTCCTCAAGAAGACACCCTAGGGATTATTTTCAGGGGATGTATTTTTTTTTTTAAGTACGGTACAACAATCTACATTTATTCAAATATAGTTAAGTCGTCTTCTTCTGGAACATCATCATAACTCTCCAAACCCCGAATTCCATCCTGAATTTCCTGGGACTCTATTTCCTTTAGAACCATTAGCCCCAATCTCTCATGTTGAGCAATGGAACTCTCATGGGGCAGATGAGAAGGGCTGCTCATCTTCTTTACAGCTCTGTGATGAAATGCATGGGTTGTGCAGATACACTGCATAGCCACGCCCATCACTAGGTCTTATTTTCAGGGTAGGGCTTATATTGTGCAAATGCTTAGAAATCCTGCTAGGGCTTATTTTATGGGTAGGTCTTATTTTCGGGGAAACACGGTATTTGAGCTGAGTGATGTAGGAAAGAGGGAATTCAAGCAGAGGGAATGGTATGTGCAGGAAGGCATGAGGCCAAAGCAGTGTGAGGCAGGACTGGGGAGATAAAGGTAAGACTGAATTGTACCGGCAAGGGCCTGGTTCACTTTATCAATGGAGGACAGTATAGACTACATACCAGAAAATGACATCTCAGATTTGCATGATAAAATTGTAACCTTCTCACAGGTTTGAACTAAGACCTGGTAGTAAACTTCAGCAAAAGGGGATGGTTGGATCATAACAGGAGTGAAAAATGCCTCAAGGAGAGAAGTCAGGAACCAAATCAAGAGAAATGGGAGTGAGCGTGAGGCAGTAAGGAGCGGCGGGTCTGGGGGCCCGGAGCTCCCTGCGCCATCGCTCTGTTCTGGCCAGTCATCACACTGCGAGGAATGATGGCCCAGTGCTGCCCTACTCATTCAGTTTGTCAAGGGAAGCCAAAAATCTGTGTTTTTGTGTGAAATATGATTTTTAAATGTCTGCTATTTAAATTTAAAAAAAAACCCAAAAAACATTGCACAGGCCAAACAGCATATCTTCTCGGTCAATTTGGGACTTTTGGATTAGAGAGAGAAGCAGGAAAAAGGATTGAGGGTCTTGTGACCAGATACATGTCTGTGAAATGGGAGGGCATAGGATACCTAAAGGTGAAATATGAGGGGAGGATTTTCTAGCTTTGACAACAACAAAATGCAGAGTTATACAGAATTCTGTTTTATCAGACAGCATCACCTATTTAAGTTACTTAAGTGTTTTTCCCCAGAATTCAACTGGGTGTGATGTTTTTCCATATTAATTTCAGCCAGTGAATATATGAGTATCCAGTGATAAAATGAAAACCATATCTATACTGGAGGAAACCCACTTGTGTGTGTGCGCACGTGCATGTGTGTTTGCGTATGTACATATATGCATGCATGTGTAATAGAAGATAACAGTTGCAGTTTATTGAGAGTTTACTGTGGTGCCAGGCAATAGGCCAAGCATTGTACACCAGTTTCACATTATGAACCTGAGGCTCGGAGAAATTAAGTTATTTGCTCAAGACCACCTACCTACTAAGTGGTAGAATGACAGCTTCAACTCCAGTGCACTTGTATGTCAGCTATTCTTCCTCATTCTGACTCTCATTACTCAACGACCCAGAGGGACCACAATCAAGCCACCCTTAGCTACAAAGAGTGGAGGTGGGAGCTGCACCACTTGGAGGTGACTAGGAGCTGAACAGTGCTGAGTTTTTCTTGCAGCCTGCTTTTCTCCTAGCCAGGATCCTGGGGCCAGTCCTTTAATAAGCCTAGAAGGCCTCCCATGAAGAAATTAAATCTCACATGCCATTAGGAGTTGGCAAGGGTGTACATGCCCCCAGTCTTCTGCCATATTCCCTGAGAGAGGAATACAATTTCCTGACAAGGAGAAATCAGGAATACAAAAACGAATAGTCCATGTCCTGAACAGTCAGAACAGACCAGCCAGTCTCCTTGCAGTAGTAGCCTACATGCACGGACCTCTCCAGATCCAATGACTGTCATGTACATCAAGCATCCAGGGCACACTGACCATCTCAGACAGACTACTCTGGACATATTGACCACTAGGAGGTACTGACTATCCTGGATATGTTGATCACATGCACCCACCACAATATAGAGGCCTTCTATCAGTACAACAGGGCAGAGTGAAGGGGGGCAGGCTAAAACTGTTTAGAGACCTGGATGGACCATCTTCTGTATTTTATCTGTATAAAAAAAACCTTTCGTATGTTTCCCCAGTATGAAGCCAACAAAACAGGCCAATTATTTAGTGCACATATGAAAGTCTTACCTAAAAACTTATAAATATTGGCATTTATAAATTGAGGCTAGATACTGAGGACTCTGAAGACGATGACAAATGCCTAAGTCTGAATCTTTCTACACATCTTCAAAAACCACACAGATCAACAAGGACAGCAAATAAAATCACAAGTTTATCTACCACATAACCGGGAAATAGAATACTGCATACTCTCATTTCATCTGAGTGGGGAAATAAATATCTGAAATCAGTGACTGATTCACAGTACCAGCTGTGGAGCCCATGCAGAAGTAGAGAGGTAGGCAGGAATTATTTGAGAAAATGAGAATGCACTGGGGTCCCAGAGAGTCCCACACTAAGTGGAGAAATACTAAGAATAGCCGTACTGAATCGGAGCACTTGCTACTGGGGAGGTGAAGGAGCTTGAAAGTGCATGGGCCCAATCTCTACATCTCGAGAGGGT